ATTCTAATCCATGAAACAAACTTTTTTTTGCTAATAACATCAAACCAAGCCATTTTGAGTGGCGTATCATAAATTCATAACCAGTGTAGAATCTTTTCCTATCTAGGACTGTTTTTTCCCACATGATTGCAAAATAAACCTCATCGGAAGTTTCCTTCTCATGATCATGAACCGACATCCACATACTCTTTTCAAGATTGTTGTACATTTCTAGGATCTTGTGTAAATTTTGTTTGGTGGTCACGCTTCACCAACGATGCTTCACCAATGATACGCTTCAAAATCCATCGATAAATGAAAAAGTTAAGTAACAGTTGTCGAGTTTCACTTTAGAGATTATCATGGGCTATTGAACTACAAAACATGTTTTATACTGATTTTTTTTAACTAGTTGGTGATTTGCTATTTTGTATTATTATTTACTAATATGGTTAGAAGAAAACTCAACATTGACAAAGATATGATCGTTAAGTCTCATTCATATAAAACACGATAAATCTAAATATCTAATCATTTAATGGTCTATAGCTAAACACGACCTGATCCAACTATCCAGCTATCGGATTTATGAAAAGAATCAATTAACTCTTATAATATGCCTTACACTAATTAGGAAACAACACATACTTGTATGAGTTAAATGTCCATTGATAACACCTGATTTTGACCACTTTTATGGATCACTTTTAATATGTTATGCAAGTGATTTCACTCAGTTTTAAAGGTTTTCAAATTATTTCTATGTTTTAGAATCTCAAAAGAGTTTTCAGGATATTTTGACAAAAGGAATGCATTTGGGAGCAAAAAGCATAACTTTGGATAAATTCAGACCGTCGGAAGTTTGGTAACAAACGGAGAACTTCCCACTGTCCAATCATCCCCAAATTTGACACAAGATAAAGGATATAACCAGCTTTCCAATGCAAGTAGAATCAAAGCAATCCAACGGTTAGATCTCAAGATATGGTCGATACACTAAAGGCGAATCATCACAGTCAGAAGCTCACCCGCGGCCAAAACATCATCCACCGGGGGTGCGAAATTTATACCGCGGAGAGCTCTATTCCGAGTCTCAGAAGCCCATATCAAAGCCCAAGTCACTCCCGTCATTATTCCTGCAAGTCCTAGGCGTTCCCGAGGACTCAAAACACTATATAAACCCCTTTTAAGTCGTTTAGAAGGGTGTGCCACATTTTCATCAGGAACCCTAGAAGAGAAGCTCGCCCAGAAGAGGAGCCACCGAGAGGGGCACCATCGACCCTCCTTCTTCAACCTGTTCTTCGTTTCTAAACTCTGTCTATTTCAATTCTGCAATTTTAAATACACTTGTGATGTTGAATTCAACTATGTCTGAGTAATTTCTTAGTTGGGTTTTTAAGGGATCTTTCAAAGGGAATTTCATGTCTTGATTATATGCTTTATTCGATTTAGGGTTATTGATCTTCTAGGAGTCCTTCGTTCATTCTTATTCACTATGCTGTTTCTGTTGCTAGCCGCTTAGAAATTGATTTCAGTAATTGGAGCCACGAGAGTGCTGTATCGAATTACCAGACCTAGAAGTGATCGAGCGAATTGGCTACAGGAGACGAAAGCTACCTGTAGAGAATCGTGAGCGTGGATGAATTTTATTTATAATGCATGATCTTATTTGCAGCATGAGAGCGAGATTTAAGTGCTGTGTTAAGTGATTAGATGATTAGGGTGACGACAGTTGGCTAATCTTATATGTGTCTATTCTAGTTCGGGATCCTCACTAGATGATTACCTTTATCGATTTGTATGTATTTTGATCAGTTCATGAACCCATGCGAAAACCCTTTGAACCCAGCTCCTGTTTCTTATTATTTTACAACTTGCTTATTTCGATTTACACTTAGATTTAGTGACACCAAAACCAAAAACCCCCATTTGCTTGTTCTGCTAGTCTTAAGTCTTGATTGATTCGCACTGAAAGCTCAAAATCTCTGTGGTTCGACCCCTAAGTACTACAGCGTACATCTGTGCACTTGCAGATATTTAGGGTTATAAATTTAAAACGTGAAGCTAGAAGTAACCCTTGATTCTCTTAGCATCAAGTTTTTGGCGCCGTTGCCAGAGATTTTGATTCCTTTCGTTGCGAATCTCTGCTTAAGTCGGTAAAACTTTTTCTAATTTTTGTTTTTCTTTGATTTTTCAGGTACTTTTTTTTCAATGAGGGGTCAGGAACACATCCTTGATCCTCTCACTGAAGAGGACCCTTTTCTAGATGGTGATCCATCAGATGATGAGCTTAATGACCCAATCGATGATGGCAATGAATCGATTGGAGAACCAGAGTATGAAAAGAAGGGAGAACAGCTGATTGGAGAATGTGATACACACAAGCTTTTCGCAGACAGGCGAGCAATTCGACCACCCTTACCTAAGGATGGCGACTCTGAGGCTAAGGTACAATACATTAGGTATATCAAAAAGTATAACGGTTTTTCTACTGAACACCCAATAGATCATATTGAAAATTTTGAAGAGTTGTGTTCAACCATAATGAAAAATACTGATTATTATATGTGTGTCCTTTCCCCATTCTCTCTAACTGGTAGAGCTAGTAAATGGCTTAAAACTTTGCCACATGCGTCCTTGAAGACGTGGAAAGAGTGTAGAGAGGCTTTCCTAAGTCACTTTTACACCAAAGATCGTTCCAATCTCTTAAGGGACAAAATCCAAAAATTTCAGCAGGAGGACACAGAAGACCTCTACGACGCCTGAGAAAGATTCAGAGACTACCAAAGAGATTTCCCACTCCATGGTTTCTCGGAGGAGCGCTTGATGACCATCTTCTACCATGGAGTTAATGAAGAACTGAAGTTTTCTTCTGATACCTCTAGCAATGGAGACTTTTCCACTAGAACTGTAGCTGAGGCTCAGGCCTATATCACTAATCTAGCTGGGAGTATCAGAAATAGGAGACTTCTAACACAATCTAGATGTCCTAAAGTTGAGGAAAAAGAATCATCTGTTAGTCAAGAACACCTAGATCAGATTAGAGAAGGCATCCAGAATATTCTTAGCATGATTGGTCCGATTCATAACTCTGATGAGGGAAACAATCATAGCAAGCCCTACATTGAGAAGATGAACAACCTTGAGGTGGAGAGGAACTTCCAAAATCAGGAGGTGATGCAAACCGCTGATGTTTACCAGAATCAACCCCACCAGGGGTGGGAGCCAGTCAACCGCGGCAAAACCAACCTCCACCGCGGGTGGGAAGCATTTGGCTGCGGCCAAGAGGAGTTTCACCGCGGGTCAGAGCACTTTGACCGCAGCCAGCCTCATTTCCAATCCTCTTTTCAACCTTCTTTCAAGAAAACCCAATCTGATCAACCCAATTCCACATTTCCTCCTTATTATCCTTTTTCCAGGATTGACGAACTAGAAAAAGAGGTTGAAAGACTCAAAAAAGAGATGGAGAGTAAATCAAAGAAGCATGAAGATGTTATTAACAAGCTCTCCACCCATTTTCTTCTTCAGATTAGTGACGAATCAAAGGAGACGGATTCTTCTGTTAATGATCTTGATGAACCTTTTTCTGAAAGAATAAATGAATTGGAGACCTCTGATCACTTAAAAGCAATAACCCTCAGGAGTGGTTTAGCTTACAAGGAACCAGAATATCCAAAAGATTTCGAAGAAGGAGAAAAAGGAGAGGTTTCGGCTAATAAAGAAGGAGATGCAGCATTTGGGAAAGAAAGAGAAACTGAAAAGGAAGACACTCCTCAAGAAATTGCTGAAGAAGAACCTATGCCACCTCCTCTTATTCGTGTCTACAAGCCCAAACCACCATACCCACGAGCTTTGAAAGGACCAAAGAAGGAGAAAGAAAGGGCTAAGCTGAAAGAGATAATCGAGCAGTTAAATGTGAGGCTGCCTTTCATTGAACCTTGTGCAATGATACCTGCTCTTAGGAAATACATGAAGGGTATTCTAACGAATTCTCTAGCATTAGAAGAAGGCGTTATGATGATAACTCATGAATGTAGTTCCATTTTACAAAACCATGTCCCCCAGAAGAAAGAAGATCCGGTAAGTTTTGTACTCTCTTGCACAATCTGGAATATGATATTTGAACGTTGTCTATGTGATTTGGGATCAAGCATCAACATGATGCCTCTCTCAGTTGCAAATCACTTAGGATATCATACTTTCCAGCCCACAAAAATCTCGCTGATTCTTGCCGATCGATCAGTCAGACGACCAGAAGGAGTCTTGGTTGATGTATCAGTCATGATTGGAGAAAACTGTATTCCGACTGATTTCGTAGTTCTTGAATTGGAAAGAGAACCAAAAGACCCTCTGATTCTCGGTAGACCTTTCCTATCAACTACAGGAGCAATAATCAATGTTCCGGAAGGAAAGATAGACCTACATCTAGAAAGTTTGATTATGCAGTTTGATATGAACAAGAGTCTTGAGAAACCTACTTTAGATGGCGGGCTCTGTCGGGTTGATGAAATTGATGTTATTACTGAGGAAGTTTATGAAGAAGTCCTTCTTTATGACCCTCTAAAAATTATCCTCACCACCCCAAACGATGATCGCAGCCTGCTCGAAGAAATTTCAAAAGAGTGTGCGCAAATGCTCGATAAGGCCGAGGATTATGCGAAACTTGTGAACTATCTGGACCTGAATGAGGAAAATCACATCCCTACTCCTGAAAAAGATACCTTGGCAGCTATAAACGATCCATGGAGCGAGCTCAAAGCTCCAAAAGTCGAGCTTAAACCTCTTCCTTATGGGCTCAAGTAAGCTTTTCTTGGACCAAACTCAACTTACCTTGTCATCATAAATTCTGGCTTAAGTAGAGTTGAAACTACTAAGCTGTTAAATGAGTTAAGAAAGTATGCCAGCTTGTTAAGAAAGATGACATACAAGGAATCTCCCCAGACCTCTGTATGCATAAGATAAATCTTGAAGACAATGCCAAGAATTCAATTGAGGGCCAAAGGAGGTTGAATCCAAACCTGATGGAAGTGGTAAAGAAGGAGATCATGAAACTTTTGGAAGCAGGAATCATATTCCCTATCACGGACAGCACTTGGGTTAGTCCTGTGCATGTTGTCCCGAGGAAAGGAGGAGTGATTGTTATAAAAAATGACAAGGATGAAATGATTGCTACAAGAACAGTGACAGGACATCGAATGTGCATCGATTATCGAAAACTGAATGCAGCAACTCGGAAAGATCATTTTCCTTTACCCTTCATTGACCAAATGCTAGAAAGATTGGCAAATCACGAATATTACTGCTTTCTAGATGGTTACTCCGGATTTTTCCAGATTCCAATTAGACCGGAAGATCAAGAAAAGACGACATTCACCTGTCCATACGGAACTTTTGCTTATCGGCGAATGCCTTTTGGATTGTGTAATGCACCTGCAATCTTTCACCGGTGCATGACGTCTATTTTAACTGATTTCATTGAAGATTTCATGGAAGTCTTCATGGATGATTTTTCCGTCTATGGATCCTCATTCGACAGATGCTTGGCAAACTTAGGGAAAGTTTTGCAGCGCTGTGAAGATAAGCATCTTGTCCGAATGTTACTTCATGGTCCGTGAGGGAATTGTGCTTGGACATAAAATATCTGGAAAAGGTATTGAGTTGACAAAGCAAAAATTGAGGTCATGACTAGCCTCAACCTCCAACTAATGTGAAGGGAATCCGAAGTTTTTTGGGGCATGCTGGATTCTATAGGCGATTTATAAAAGGCTTCTCAGAAATCGCCAGACCTCTCACACGTCTGCTCTGCAAGGAAACAAACTTTGAATTCGATGATGAGTGCTTGACAGCATTTCATAAGATCAAAAACACCCTTGTCTCCGCTCCAGTTGTGCAACCACCTGATTGGGAACAAACGTTTGAAATCATGTGTGATGCAAGTAATTTTGCTGTTGGAGCTGTGCTTGGTCAGCGGAAAGAAAAGAAACTACACGCAATCTACTATGCGAGTAGAACTTTGGATGAAGCTCAATGCAATTACGCGGCTACGGAGAAGGAGCTTTTAGCCGTCGTTTTTGCTTTTGAGAAGTTTCGATCTTATCTAGTAGGATCCAAGCTTATCGTCCATACTGACCATGCTGCAATCAAGTATCTCATGTCCAAGAAAGACGCCAAACCGAGGCTGATCAGATGGATACTCCTGCTGCAAGAATTTGACATTGAAATTCGAGATCGGAAAGGAGCAGATAATGGAGTAGCAGATCATCTTTCTAGAATTTGAGTAGAAGAGAGACTCCCTTTGAATGATAGTCTGCCAGAAGAAAATGTTTACGCTATGGAAACTATACCTATTACCGTGCAGGAAAAGCCATCCCAACTTCCTATACGGCGGTCAGGCGCTTTTGACACCCCATGGTTTAGGCATATAGCAAATTACTTAGCTGCAGACATTGAACCATCACAATTCTTTGCTTATAAAAAGAAGAAATTCTTAAGGAAAATCCGACATTATTTTTGGGACGAATCTTATCTCTATAGGAGATGTGTAGACGGTTTATTCCGACGGTGTGTGGCTGAAGAAGAAATAGAAGGAATACTGTTTGGATGTCATAGCTCAGCGTATGCAGGACATTTTGCGACGTACAAAACAGTTTCAAAGTTCTTCAAGCGGGATTTTGGTGGCCTACTATGTTCAAAGACACTCACGCCTACATCTCGCGCTGTGATTCATGCCAACAAATGGGCAACATCAGTAAGAGGAATGAGATGCCTCAAAACTTCATTCTTGAAGTCGAAATCTTTGATTGTATAGGGAATTGATTTCATGGGACCTTTCCCAACTTCTTTCGGAAACCAATACATTTTAGTAGCGGTAGACTATGTCTCTAAATGGGTAGAAGCAGTCGCCAGCCCTACTAATGATGCGAAAGTGGTTATAAAGCTATTTAAATCAATCATATTCCCTCGTTTTGGAGTTCCCCGAATTGTGATAAGCGATGGAGGATCCCATTTCATCAACAGAGTTTTCGCAAATCTGCTCAAAAAAATGGAGTCACGCATAAAGTTGCATCTCCATATCACCCACAGACAAGTGGACAAGTGGAAATCTCTAACAGAGATATCAAATCGAGTTTACAAAAGACAACTGGCGTAAATCGCAAATATTGGTCTGAAAAACTCGACAATGCACTTTGGGCCTATCGGACAGCATACAAAACTCCTTTAGGAACCACACCGTTCAACCTCGTTTATGGAAAAGCATGTCACCTCCCTGTAGAGCTGGAGTATAAGGCACAATGGGCTATTAAGGAGATGAACATAGACTTTAAGGCAGTTGGAGAAAGAAGAATGCTTCAAATACACGAATTAGAAGAAATCCGCCATAACGCCAACGGAAACTCCAGGATATACAAAGAGAAGACGAAGGCATATCACGACAGAAGGATCGTACATCGATCCTTCGCTCCAAAAGTTCTTCTTTTCAATTCTCGCCTTAAGCTATTTCCAGGAAAGCTACGATCTAGATGGTCTGGACCTTTCACAGTAAAGGAATTCAAACCGTATGGAGCACTAATTCTTTGGGGTGAGAAAGGAGATACATTTGTCGTCAACGGACAACGTGTAAAACCATACCTAGCAGAAGAATAAGAAAGAGAAGCAATGCTCTTGGCAGACCCGCCAGGGTAGAGCATCATCAAAGTCAAGCTAATGACTTTAAGCAAACACTTAGTGGGAGGCAACCCATTTGGTATTTTACTCATTCCTGTTGATTTGCCTTTTTCTATTTTTGCTGCTTTGTTTTTGTTTTCTATAATTCCAGGTTTTTAAGCGAAGAACGAATAAGAGGTGAGCAGAAATCACGAACCAGGAAACACATCACCAGGTAAGTACACCTAAACATTCCAAATTTCAGTACATCATTATCCCATCCTCTCAAAGATTTGTCACATTGGGGGCAGTGTGATTTAAGTCTGGGGGAGGATGTTCATCCTTTACTAATTAAATTTGGTCTGTCTTGAGTTTGTGTTTCACAAAACGTTTTCCAAACGGTTTTTAAAACAGGAACACCGGAACAAAATCATATGCTTCTAGACTTTACACGCTAGTTTCTTTTGTGGATAGTACTAGACTAGGCGGTAGTTACAGTACTTGCACTACGAACTCCCACGAGAAGATTTCTATTCATGGGGATCTTTTCTGCCAGGATATACCAGCTCATTTTACTTGAACATAAGCTTGACATCTAATTTTCTCATCATTGGTTTTAGCAGGCATCATGATACAAATCTTGGACATCTTCACCTTATTGTTATCACTCTTTGTTGTCCTAGATGGCCAGTTCATCTTTAGCTGGTACCTCACCCTCTACCCAAACCTTTATGTTCAAACCTCATGCATTCTCTCTTTAGTTTATATTGACAGATATGTGCAAAAGCGCCGAAGAGGGAGGAACAACATAGTATTCAGTCACTCAAGAGAAGGACTGAAGAAATTTGGGAAAAAGGAGTATCAGCAATCCTATCAAGCTTAATGGTGCCTCAAAAAGCTCATTCATAAAGGTAAATCTCGTGCTCCTAGGACTCTATGTCAAAAGGCGGTTTCCCCTTTCAAAAAAAAAAATCAAAAAAAAAATGAAAGGAAAGGAAACCAAAAGCCTAAAGAGTCTAGGATGGCCGAAATCATTAGAAGCAAAGACCACAAGTATTCATCTGTGAGGATTGGTTTTAAAACCTGGATAAAAAAGTGTGGGGGAGTCATGAGGAGAACCTGAAGAAAGGAGATCAAGAATCTTAAGGCAAGAAGAATGTGACTGAAAATTGTGGGGGCATTGACAGTTCCATCCTCTCTTGCTGTTTTGCATAATGTCTTGTCTCTTCAGAAAAGGTAACCCTAAACACTAAAAGCCTCACTTTCTAAACAGCTATTTTGAATATCTAGCCTTGATTGCCTTGCTAAACTCCTTTTGATGAGAACCACTGGAACTTATTAATGAATGTTAAGAGCTAGTTGACTGGAGGATAAGTTTAAATGTGTAGACTTTCGCATGACGGATCAACGGACTAGTTATGCTTGTGCTTTGGTGAGAATTTTCTAGACTATTGATGTGTCGGTGTGTTGAGAGTTGTCAAGTTTTACCCTAAATGAAATCAATAGCCGCAAGTGCACAACTGATCGATTGTAGTACTTAGGGATCGAATCCACAGGGAAGGAGGATATTTTCCTGCAAAAGCCTTTGAAAGAAATATAAAGTAAGGAAGTCTAGAACCAAACGGTTTTGTGGGGGTTTTGGTGGTGTGTTTAAAATGTAAAAATGAAATCTAAAAAGAAACTACGGGAATTAAATGGCCTAATAACTAAACTTAAGGAAAATGAATAAAAATGAGAAAAACGGATATTCTAATTGCTTAAATGAAAATCTACTAAAAAGAAATGAAAATATTGAACTAAAGCTTGAAATAAAAACGGTGTGAATCTATAGGAAAGAGGGCGTTGGGGTTCAGGGAAGTCTTCTCAGGGGTACGAACGATTCAAAACATTGCTAGAGAGTAAATTTGATAAGATCTTAGCTTAAACTTTTCGAACTGGAGTCACGGACGTATGAATACGCCACTGTCGTGATCATAGACAATTATCTCTCTCAACCCTGACCAGTAGGTTTCCACTCTGGCCCTAGAAGAGAAGACTCGTCAGCATTCAAAAATCGCCCATAGGTAGGTTTCCACTCCTATGTTTGTTTTGCTCTCCCAAACTAGATCTGACACCGGATGAACACTTTCGTGTCACCAAGCATCTGGATCAGATTGTAGTTCATGACGCTACTCTCATGCAGTAAAAACGAATTCAGAAGAAAAAGTTCTAAGATTCGGCTCAAAAGCTCATGGAATCCTCATCGAACATATAAGTCCCCATCGAAAATCCCTTAATCCCAACAATAAAACTACTCAGACATGATGAACGAAATCAAAAACATAGTATTTATAAGTAGAATAAAAACCAAAATTGAAAAAGAAAGAACAAGGGTTCAAGAGACAAATCTCTCTCTCCCTAAAAGCTAAAGTAAAAACAATAAGAAAAATATGAGGTAATGATTCGGTTTTCTCTTTTAGGGTTCCTAAAACATGTATTTATAATGCTCAAGACATCTCTGGACGTCACTTAGGGTTTCTCTAAATGAGGGAATCATTGTGGGTTTCAGAAATGGGCCTTCGGGCTCGGAGTTGGCTGACCGCGGTCAAGATGGCTGTGACCGCGGGAAATGGTTGGCTGGCCGCGGTCGGGATGCTTCTGACCGCGGGAAATGGCCTGTTGGCCGCTGGTGGAAATGCTCGCCGGCTGGTTTACGGGACATCTTGCTCTTCGCGCATCTTATGATTGAACCGTTGGATTGCCAAGCTGTAAAGTATGCTGGAAAGCTGATACTTCCATCTTTAAGATCTCCAAATTTGAGCTGGATCAGACGGTGAGAAGGCCTTCAATCAGGGGTGAACTTCTGACGGTTTGACTCTGAGCTGAAATCTGGTTTTCTATCCATTTTGTTAAGCTTTTCCCTAAGTTACCTGAAAAGAGTCTTGGAACTACAAATACTAGAAAAACGTAATAAAAGTACTTGAAAGCAATTAAAATCATAGAAAAAGTATTTCAAAACGATCCATAAAAGTGGTCAAAATACGGTGTTATCAACTATCCTTGATTTGAGCATAATGACTAACTTTAGTTTAGAAGCATGGTCTCTGAGATTTTGTTAGTTCCTGCGATTTTCAAACCTCTTTTCCAGGTTCAGATCTTTGGTTTTGTTTGAGGACAAACAAAGGTTTAAGTCTGGGGGAGTTGATAACACCTAATTTTGACCACTTTTATGGATCACTTTTAATATCTTATGCAAGTGTTTTCACTCAGTTTTAAAGGTTTTAAAATGATTTCTATGTTTTAGAATCTCAAAAGAGTTTTCAGGATATTTTGACAAAATGAATGTACTTGGGAGCAAAAAGCATAACTTTGAATAAATTCAGACTGTCGGAAGTTTGGTAACAAGCGGAGGACTTCCCACCGTCCGATCATCCCCAAATTTTGACACAAGATAGAGTAGACAACCAGATTTCCAATGCAAGTGGAATCAAAGCAATCCAACAGTTAAATGTCAAGATATGGTCGATACACTGAATGCAAATCATCACAGTCAGAAGCTCACCCGCGGCCAAAACATCATCCATCGGGGGTGCGAAATTTTAAACCGCGGAGAGCTCTATTCCAAGCCTCAGAAGCCCATATCAAAGCCCAAGTCACTCCCGTCATTATTCCTGCAAGTCCTAGGCGTTCCCGGGACTCAAAACACTATATAAACTCCTTTTAAGTCGTTTAGAAGGGTGTGCCACATTTTTCATCAGGAACCCTAGAAGAGAAGCTCGCCCAAAAGAGGAGCCACCGAGAGGGGCACCATCGGCCCTCCTTCTTCAACCTGTTCTTCGTTTATAAACTCTGTCTATTTCAATTCTCTGCAATTCTAAATACACTTGTGATGTTGAATTCAACTATGTCTGAGTAATTTCCCAGTTGGGTTTCTAAAGGATCTTTCAAAGGGAATTTCATGTCTTGATTATATGCTTTATTCGATTTAGGGTTATTGATCTTCTAGGAGTCCTTCGTTCATTCTTATTCACTATGCTGTTTCTGTTGCTATCCGCTTAGAAATTGATTTCAGTAATTGGAGCCACGAGAGTGCTGTATCGAATTACCAGACCTAGAAGTGATCGAGCGAATTCCCTACTGGAGAAGAAAGCTACCTGTAGAGAATTGTGAGCTTGGATGAATTTTATTTATAATGCATGATCTTATTCGCAGCATGACAGCGAGAGTTAATTGTTGTGTTAAGTGATTAGATGATTAGGGTGACGACAGTTGGCTAATCTTATATGTGTCTATTCTAGTTTGGGATCCTCACTAGATGATTACCTTTATCGATTTGTATGTCTTTTGATCAGTTCATGAACCCATGCGAAAACCCTTTGAACCCAGCGCCTATTTCTTATTGTTTTACAACTTGCTTATTTCGATTTACACTTAGATTTAGTGACACCAAAACCAAAGACCCCCATTTGCTTGTTCTGCTGGTCTTAAGTCTTGATTGATTCGCACTGAAAGCTCAAAATCTCTGTGGTTCGACCCCTAAGTACTACAACGTACATCTGTGCACTTGCAGATATTTAGGGTTATAAATTTAAACGTGAAGGTAGAAGTAACCTTTATTCTCTTAGCATCATCCATTTATTTAACATTTGTTATAATAATAGGTATAATTTATTATAAAGATAAATATAAATAAAGGCCAAAATTTTTACCCGTAAAAGAACAGAGATATTGGTAAAAGAGAGAGCGAGAGAATAAGAGAGAGATGAGGATGTTTATAATTGAGAATGAGATGTTGTTGTGTTTACAATCGAAAGATTTTTTCGTATATATAAACGTAAAAAGTTTGAGTTACTATGCATAATTAGTGAAGGTGAGCTCCACAAATTTTACTCACGTTTTTCATTCTACCTACACAAACTCTGACTTTGGAGATAGTCTGCTTTTCCTGACTTTTGTAACAACATTATATATTTCTCGAAGCGACCTTTTCCAGACATGCCCCTATTGTTTTATGTAATTTCACTAACACGACCTATTGAAATATAATCCATCTTTTCACTTGATTTAAACTTAGAGCATGTCCATCAAGGGATCAGCTGGGGTTCATGGCTCAGAATCATAGGCAAAAATGATTATTTTAAAAAAGAAAAAAGGCCCAATTTCGACGATTCAGTTCTTCCCGAAGAGCCTGAAGAGACTGCCTCTTCACCACGTGGAAGCGTGTGATTGACCGAAAAACGAGTGTTAATTTTGTGGGACACATTTTTTTTTCCTCGACCATTTTCATTTTCCTCTCATCCCGACTATCTTCTCTCTTTTTCTTCCCCGACGATTTTCAATCAATCAGAGCTTGCATCAAATTTACCCGTGGAGATATATTCCGAGCATCGAGTATCCATTCCAATCATCAAGGTAAGCCATCTTCCTCTGTAATTTGTTAAACATATAAAGCTTTAGGGGAAATTAGGGTTATCGAATTTGGGGAAAAAATCTATGGTTATTTCTTGGTGTTTTAATTGGGGATATACGATCGATTAGAAGTCTCGGTCTGTTCGTTGTTACCCTATATGAAATACGAGTTCAGTCTTTCGAATTTATGAGCAGAAATTTGTTTGATAAAATTAGGGTTTTTCCGATTTGGGGTAAAATTTGGGGCTTTTTCGTGGGGTTGAAATTGGGGTTTATTACATTCATTTACAACCGCCGTCTGTATATTGTTGTTGACTGAGAATATGATATGATTTCTATTGTTCATAGCCATTATTGAAGATGATATGACTGAGAATATGATATGATTTCTATGTTGTCTTCCTGTCTGATGTGACTGAGAATATGATATGATTTATATTGTTCATAGCCATTATTGAAGATGATATGATTTCTCTTTGCTGGTTCCATGATCGGTAGTGATGGTTTATGTTTGTTTATGTTGCTTAGATTGAATGATTGTTTATGTTGTTTAGAAATTTTAATGTATTACATAATATGAATGATTGTTTATGTTGCTTAGATTGTTTATGTATTAAATAATATGAATGATTGTTTATGTTACTTAGATTGTTTATGTATTTTATGTTGCTATTGGCGGAATTTCTTGGATTGTTTATGTTGGCATTTGAATGATCAATGTTTTGGTTAGCTTAGATTGATGAAATTTTTGTTGGTCAGAGAATGCCTATAAGCTACAACGATACATCATCTGAAGGCCCAAAGATGGACATGGGCTGGGCATATTCGGATGCTACTTATGGCATACCTGAAAATTGCTTCTGTGGTCGTAACATGAAGCTTGAATCAAACACAGATGGCCGCAAGTATTATGGATGTCCTGATAGGTTCAAAATGGTTAGCTCTCTCTCTTTATTATGTCTTCCTTTTTTTGTTTGTTTAGTTATGTTTATTATGGCTGAAACTGTTTACTGTTTGTAGGCCAGTGGTGAGCACATGTGGCAGTGGTGGGATGATGCGGTAACCGTGCAGTTCAAAAGGATCAACTTAAGGCTTCAAGAGCAAAAGGAGCTTATCCTCAGTGTTGACCGACACAGAAGCAACACATCTGATCCAACCATAGGAGAAGTTCGTGAAAAGCTAACACGGCTTCAAGGTGAAGTTACAAGATTGAAGGACCACATTGCTAACCAAGGTGATGGTTTTGTTATGTTGGTTTTTATTTGTGTTATTGCAGCCATTGCATATGTGTTTAGTATTAGAAATATGTGTTTAAGTATTAGAAATGGGTGGCATCTATTTCGAAGTTATGTAGTAAGACATAAGTACCATTTTATTACTCTTTTTAAGCTCATGACTTAAAGTGTTGTAATATTATCTACCGTCTAAGTTATGCAATAGATCGTACTCATAGTTGTGGAAATTTCTATTACTTTTTATGCTATTTTTCTTACATCTAATAAGTTATATTATCTACGTCATAGTATTGTAGGTTTTAATGATCCCTTTTCAATATTTTTTGTGAGGTAATATGGTGGAACTACATATACATACTTCTAAAAACTCCACCGAGTAGTTATGTCTCAACGATTACAGGTCAGTCGTCTTTAAAATTTTTGGTTAGAAATTCTTTGTGTTAAATGCTAGGTTGGTTTTGTTAGGTTTATGACATTTAACTTTTTGGATTCATGGTTTTGTTAGGTTTGTGAGGTATAATGATGATCAATGCTTTAGATCAATGCTTGATATGACTTGTTAGGATTAGGTGGTGTGATAAATGCTAGTTAAGTGTTATTATTAAGACTTGACTAAAAACAATAAACCATATTTTTCTTAAAAAACACTCAAGTAAAACACCAATATTCTTCTTAAAAAACACCCAACCATATTTTTCTTAAAAAACATCTTCTTCTTTAACTATCTTCTTCGACTTCCAAACACTTGTTCTTCTAAACATTTTCCAAACACTTGTTCTTCCAAACAGCTTGTTCTTCCAATCATCTTCCAAAAACGTGTTCTTTAACTATCTTCTTCTAATTCCTTCCACTTGATCTATCGTATGTAACTAGCTTTTTCTACTTTATTCCACTCGTTTCATCGTTTTTAACTATCTTCTTCTTCTTTTTTCCACTCGTTACATCCTCTTTAACTATCTTCTTTGACTTTCTTCCACGTTTTCCTTCTCTATAACTTCCTATGGATTCTCAGAACTCGTTTACTCAGTCTGAAGGCTTTATCAACCTATTAACTAGTTAGCTAGTTAATGACACTTTCTCGCCATGTATAGAATTAGGATCATCATACATTCCTATGTTTAGTACACAAGGATCTGATTATTCAAGTGATGACCGTAAAGTGAGAAGGCACTGGACTCCGAAGGAAGATAAGGTGCTGATAAGTGCATGGCTCAATACGAGCAAGGACCCTATTGTCGACAATGAACAAATAGTTGGTGCCCTTTGGAAGCGGATTCAGGCATATTACAACGCAAGCCCTCACATATTAGGACTACAAAGAAGAGAAGCCTCTCAGTGTAAGCAACGCTGGGGAAGGATCAATGCCCAGGTCTGAAAATTTGTGGGTTCGTACGAGCCTGCACAGAAGGAAAAGACAAGCGGTCTGAATGAAAACGACATAATGAAGGCAGCCCATGACATCTTCTTCAATGACTACCTCATCAAGTTTGGCCTCTAGCATGCCTGGAGGGAGCTCGGGCATGACCAAAAATGGTGCACAAGTTCATCTGTGAAGGATGGTGAAAAGGCTAAAAAAGGAAGGTTGTAGCCTCGGCTCAGTCGCCAAGCTCGTTTCCTGCAACCGATGATGTGTCAGAGGCTCGGCCGCCTGGTGTGAAGGCGTAGAAGGCAACGCTAAGAGGTCAGCCGGAGTCAAAGTAGAAGGAAAGGAGCTGAAGGAGTGGCAAAGTATGTGGGAAATCAAACAAAAGGATTTAGAAATGAAAGATAAGATTACTAACAAAAGGATTCTTGAGAGCCTCTTAGCTAAGACTGAGCCACTTTCGGAGAATGAAGTGGCACTTAAAAACAAGTTAATTAGTGATATGTTGTTGTGATGTGTTGAACTTTAAAGTTTATGTAGTCAACTTTGTGTTTTTCCTTTGATTGACGATGACTTATTAGTTTGCATAATATATGAACTTTGTATTTTTATTTTGTTTTTAGTAGATTGCTTAATGTTGAGTCCATTGTCAAAAATGATATATAGTAATTTTGCAAGATAAAACACTGTATGTCCAGGTTTGCTTACTTGTTTCTTTCAATGAATAAGATTAATAGTCTGAATTTGACATTGTAATTTACTGATGTTGTTTTATGTTTTTGCAGGAAGTGCGTGATCAGATGCACTTGGCCACTAAATTTTGGAAGACAAGTCCGTGATCAGATGCAAACAAAATGAAGTGTCCATTGCTTTTGTTTTATTGTTTAGTAAACCACAAATTTTTCTAGTGTAATGTATACCATATGTTCTCAAACGTGCTTGGAAGCCACATATGTTTAGTTTTGACGTGTACAAATTTGTTGTGTGAAATGATTAAACAATTATATCTCCATTCATATTTTTTTTAAGTTCATTCTACCTCCTTTTGTTTCCCAATATCGAAAACCACATCTTGTTTTATAAGCCAAGTCTCACTCTCCACTTGTTTCCTCCACTTTAAATTCATAATCCCTTTATCAAATCCTAATAATATCATTCCTATACCAAAATCTTTATCTGTTTACACAAACATTATGGCAGCATCTTCAAGCTATGGATTGGCTGACTCATTTGATGATTCATTTGATGAAAGTTTCGATGAGATCTTCGATCAAAATTTTGATACTATGTTCGATGCAGGTCTTAATCGGCATGCAGAAAAAAAAACTAAGAAGAAAAGAGCATACATTGAAAGAGAGTGAGAACAAGGCCACAACCGATTATGGAACGACTACTTCAATGATGGTGCAACCTACCCACCAAATCTATTTCGACGTTATTTTAGAATGAACAAGGACTTGTTCATGCGTATTGTTGACTGCCTCTCCAATGAAGTTATCCAGACTACAAAAGTGTACGACAGCAATTCGTATGATGGCATATGGTTCGGCAGCTGACGCAGTTGACGAATATCTCCAGCTCGGTGTAAGTACGGCACTGTTATGCTTGGAAAATTTCACTGAAGGAATGATACACTTGTTCGGCGATGAGTACCTCAGAAGACCCACACCAGAAAACCTTCAATGACTACTCGATATTGGAGAGATACATGGATTTTCCGGGATAATAGGAAGCATTGATTGTATGCATTGGAAGTGGAAGAATTGTTCTACCGTTTGGAAAGGGCAATATTCACGTGGTTTCGGAAAACTGACAATCATCTTAGGGGCAGTAGCATCACAAGATCTTTGGATATGACACACGTTTTTTGGACCTCCAGGTACATTAAATGATATTAACGTTCTTGATCATTCACTCATTTTTGATGACTTATTACAAGGTCGAGCTCCAAAAGTGATATATTGGGTCAACGGTAACGAGTATCGTTTGTCGTACTATCTCACAGATGGTATTTATCCCAAATGGAAAACTTTTATACAATCTATGCAACTTCCTCAAGATTCCAAAGCAACGTTATTTGCTACATGTCAAGAATCCGTACGAAACGATGTCGAACGTGCTTTTGGAGTTCTACAAGCTCGATTTACAATTATCAAAAATCTAGCTCTTTTATGGGATAAAGAAAAAATTGGCAAGATTATGCGAGCATCTATCATATTGCACAATATGATAGTAGAAAACGAACGAAATGGCTACACTCATTATGATATATCAGATTTCGAACAAGGAGAAGGAAGCAGAAATTTGCAAATCGATATGACGTATTATACAGATATTCCTACAAATATTGAAAATATGATGGAGGTTCGAAATCAAGTCCGTGATAAACAGCTACATGAACGATTGAAAGCGGATTTAGTTGAGAATATCTGGAATAAATTTGGTATATCTCAATAGTAGAACTAAATGTTTTACACTTTCAAAAATCTATATGTTGTATTTTTAATTTAAATTTCATGTAATGAATTGTAATTTTGTTTTATAAAAATGTGTATTTAAATTAATTAGCAAAATAAAAAATTTAAAATAACTTTTTTTTTTTATTCTTGGTAAATCATTTTAAGAGTTCACCAATAAAACCCCAAAATTAACACAAATTCTTCACTTTTCTTAAATCCAAAAAATAATAATAATTCTAAAGAACCTCTTTTAGAGGTTCACTGATGTACATGGTTAACATCCATCTTCTTTCTCTTACTTCTCATTTCTCTAGCTACTTATGTGATTTTCTATCTAATTTTTATTGGGCTTTTCTAAGCCCATGTCCAACTTTCCTAATTAGTATGATATTGTCCGTTTTGGACCCAACAGGCAAAGCCCGCACGGATTTGGTTTTGGGCTCCTTCCCAAAAGGCCTCATACTAATTAGAGTTGGACATTACTTATATACTAGACCATATTGGTCTAAACTTCCGATGTGGGACTTTGGATTGATTCCCAACAATCTTCCCCTCAAGCCAAAGACCCTATAACTCTTGATTTTCAACCTACATGATACTTAGTACCATCTTGTACTTCTTAATCGGAAGGTCACTTTTGAAGGTTTCTCTCCCACACCGAACATTCAGTCCGATTCAACTTCTTCAGGTCCATTTTTCTTTGACCTAAGCTCTGATACCATTTATTGGGCTTTTCTAAGCCCATGTCCAACTTCCCTAATTAGTATGATATTGTCCGCTTTGGACCCAACAGGCAAAGCCCGCACGGATTTGGTTTTGGGCTCCTTCCCAAAAGGCCTCATACTAATTAGAGTTAGACATTACTTATATACTAGACCATATTGGTTTAAACTTCCGATGTGGGACTTTGGATTGATTCCCAACAATTTTAACGTTAGATAGTATTTTAAAAGACTATCCTTTTGTGTCTTTAAGATATCATGACATGAACATGTTATCTTTTCAAGATAGCTCAATCTACCTCTCATAACAAACATTTTTAGATATCCATATATAGCTGTGGTCATTAATCTATCTTTCGAAAGCCCTCATATGCATTCTTTAATCATTATGCTGGCATGCATGAATGCTTATTTTTTTTAGCACTGATATTGGTAGATGTATTTGCCTCTTCAAATTTGAATCACTCATCTATGGGTTTGTTGAAGTCATGCAAACTTAAATTTTTCTAATGAGCATTGTCCATTTAGAATTAACCATCTCATAGATCTTACAATTTTGTTCCGAACAACCATTATTAGTCATTTTGTTCTACTTTCCGAACAAACTCGAACTCAACATTTAACACAATCAATACAGAAACAGTCGAACATTTGGATATAATTACTCACACCCAACTCCACTTTTCACAAACATACATAAACAATTATTAAGGAACAAAAATAAGCTTGGACCAAAGATATTCACCTTTAGCCACCACATTCATCAATCAACAAGCCGAAAAATCATAAACCCTCCAAGAGCTTGTCTAAAAGCACTTCCTATGAACAATGGCCAATCCTGATTCCTCACATTCTGCCTTTGATATCCACATCTGCATTTCCGAGCAAAGGTACGTAACCAAACATCAATACTTTGGATGTACATCAGTACATCACTGAAACATCACACACATTTAAAGATTTCCGAACAAGGTACGTAACCAAACACCAATCCATACAGTGTACTTCCTCTAACCATTAAAGCTTCGTGGCCAATCTCTTTATAATCTTTAGGTAAACCAAAGCCAAAATTACTTTTAATTTTTTAGGTTTAAGGGCAATTATGAGATGAAGTTTGATAAAAGATTGTGTTGCAATTGCACTTTCTGAGGTTGATATTGATCTGAGTGAGACTTAAAAAACTCATTATTCCAAATTTCATAGATTTAATTAGGAAAATAAAAGAGAGTGAGAGGGGATTAAAGAGATTGTTGTCTCCAAAACTTGTGCAGAAATAAATAAAATAAAAAAATCTCGAACAAAAAAGACCAAGTTTTGCAACACCGGAGGATTTGGATTTGGTCTGTAAAACAAAAACTAAACATTCAAAAGACAAAGAACGAGAATAAATATATTGGTCTTATTCCTCCTCAACGATCTTGCTCTTCTCGCTAACATAGATACCATCAAGAAACTTCCTGATATCCTTCTTCTTGACGTGACATTTCTGCACAATCACATATACAAAAGACCCTTAAACAGATTTACGATAAATTAAATCACTGACTAATCAAATACGGTTTCACTATGGCAAAATGTGATCCCAAAATCAAAAACCATCAACCAAATATGCAAAAACTCGAAACTTTCTGTCTAAATTCGGTCAAGTTAGCTCATTTCACATGAATTTGGAATCTGTTAGTAAGAACAGTACCTGGTTGATCAAAGCGCAAGACCTTGAGACGAGCTCGATATCGTTACCATCAAGAACAATCTCATCCTTAACTTTCTCAGATCGAACAATGGTCACACCATCCAACATCTCTACCTTCCTCACCTGTTGATTCCAATTAAAAAATGTAACGTCAGTGAAAACACTTGAATCTATTGGCAATCCATTTTCCATTACGAGAATTAAAGAAAAAACACAAACCTTCTTCTCGCCAAGGAAGTTACGGATCTCAATGGACTTGTTATCGCCGCTGATTGAAGCGTTGATGGGAAAATGAGCGTACACGAACCTCATCTTGTATCGGAAACCTCTGGTTACGCCGGAGATGAGATTATCGACGTGGCTAAGAGCTGTTCTGATGGAAGCGCTTGATTTGCGCGATCCAAACCACGAATCGATCTTGAGCTTTCGTTTCCCAGTCTCTTCGTCCTTGATTAGCTGGAAATCGAGATTGAGATGCTTGAAATCGCGGACGAGCTTGCCGCGAGGTCCTTCAACTTCGATCACTTTAGCGTTAACTTTGATGCTAACGCCGTCGGGAATGTCCATCGTCTCCGAAGATAGAATCGTCTTCATCTTCTCTCGCTGTCTGTCTCTCTGGCTGTGTCTCTTGTTTGCACCACGGCGGCGGCGAATTTTAACAAGAAACCTAGGTTTTATGGGTTTTCTGATGGGCCGGTCCGATCAGTTTGGGCGCAGTCCATTTTGGGCCAGTCTTGATAAAATCTATATATTTCTGTGTTTTTCTTTCTCTCTATCGGTGATCTACTAGTGTTTTGTCCGACCACCGAAGGAATCCAACCGAGCCAAATCAAATAAAAAGAACTACTAAAAGGAACCGGACAGTTAAAAATGCTGAATGATTCTTTTTCAAAAAAAAAATTTAGATATCTGCGCCGAACCAAATTAAGAAGAATTAAACTGAAACGAAATAGTCCCAAATACTTGAATGATTCATTTTTAAAACATTTCATATATCCTGAAACGAATAGTCACAAATACTTGATTGATTCCTTTAAAAAACATTTCATATATCCGAACTGAACCTGAACCAAAATACAATTATATATGTAAAATATCAAGTATTTTTTAGACTTAAAATAACCAAAATATTAAAAATAACAATTATAAAATCTAAATTTTTAATTTTAAGGGTATTTCATATACTAAATATCGGATAATTTAGATAATTTGAGTAGTTTTAGGTATTTTTTAGGTAATTTGGATAGTTTAAGTTTTTTTAGAGTATTTCAAATAATTCAAATAATTCGCGTAAAGTTATCATATTCAAACCAAACTCACATACATTTCAAATCATAGGTGTCAAGATATGACGCGGTCATCAAACCAGTAGTTGAACCAGAGCTTCATCAAACTTACTGCTCAAGCTACATAGGATCCAACAAAGACGTCTCTGCCTTCAATAAAGCATATCGAACCAACAAGAAAGATTTGAGGAACAAGCTGAATTGTTTTAGAAACTCAAATCATCAGAGATTCATGGAGAAGTGTAATTGGGTTCATATCAGCTCGGACAAAACCAGAATCGAATTTACAAATCAGATGATTCCAGATTATCTTGCTATTGAAGCCAATACGACCTACGGCCATTGTTTCACAAATACCGGTTCAACCACAATGATTCAAGGCACGAAACCAGTTGGAGAACATTCTCAGCTCATCTAGAGAACACCAAGAAGTGGAATCAGTCCAATACGAGTTCTGAGGAAGGAGATATTCAGTTTTCAAACCAGGAGAACTAGAGCTCGCTAGATTCAGACATATGCGGGATCATTGGAGGATTCCGACTAAACCAGAATGAATTAAGCTATGAACCAACTTGTTCTAGTATCTTAATTCATCAGGAAATTAGGGAGAGTTTAAATCGTACCAATACCGGTTATGGTTGGGGAGATATTCGATTTTTAAACCAGACATTCCTCACCTTGCCTTATTTGGAGTCTCACGAGTTTGGTCAAAGTCAAACGTATTTGTGGCGACCAGGAGAAATTAATAATAATCCAGAATGTTCCTCAAAGGCCCTACAGTGCTCCAGCACACAGAGGATTAGGCGAATCCTCTTGCACCTCAACTTACCATATTTGGACGCGTTCACACTTGGAGGAATAACTCACCAACGATTCTTTCTTCTTTGCTGCTGTATTTGAAGCCTCTAAAAATGAATCCAGACATCCCAAAGGCGCACCACTTCCAGCCCAAGCTATCAAGATTGAAACCAATGGTTATTTCCTTAGTTTGACAGATTTTCTCATCAATTCTCCAACAGCTAGTTTTTCATTTAATTCTGCAATTTTCTTCTTGTTTTAGACTTAAAAATTGTTCTACTTGAGCCTATATAAGCTCAGCTCGTCCCCATGTACAAATCACCCTTGATCATTGAAATTAATAGAAACGTTTTATTCTTTTCACAAAGCTTGTTTTTCTTTGCGTTTATGCTCTTTAGATTTCTAAGTGTGTGATTCACTTTAAGTCTATAGAAACCCACGGTTTTAGGAGTGTTTTGAGTGATTCAATACTCTTAGTCTTGCCATTGATTGAGTGAGTCAATCACCTTCACCATCCATCTCTACCTTCAGCCCCTTCAGCGTACCTTAGGCTTGGAATCTCTCGATCATCGAGTGATCTTAGTATTGGAGTGATTCCGATCCTATATCAAGATAGCTTTTCAATTTATTAACCGAATTGACCTGAACTGAAAGCCACCCCAATCTGAATACGGATTTTTCTTGGTTCTAATATAGTTTATAGTTGTTATACACGGTAAAAAACTAAAGAGGTGTTATTGGGAGGTTGATTTATGAAGATTTTCAGAGTTTAAGATTCTATGGTTATTGGTTTGTGGATTTTTACATTCTTAATAGATTTCACTGTTATTTGTAAACGGATTTTAAAAATCCATTGTTATTGGTTTGATGATTTTGATAATCTAATCAAAATCTATTGTTAGTCAAAAAGTTTGTATTTTATTGATTTTATGATTTTGTTATAATCTAGTGTTATTAGGATAATGATTCTTTACAATTTAACTCATAATTTTCAAAATACTACGGAAGAGTTATTGGGAGTATGATCTATAAAGGTTTTTGTTGCTTTTAAATGTAATGAGATTTATCAAATTTTCATAAGTTTTGTTGGATTTGTAAAATTTGCAGAAAGTTATGTGGATTTAAATAATCCACAAAATATTTTTAATATGACAGATTTTGAGAATCCAATGGATATACAGGTAGTATTTTGGAAATCATGATTTATGAGTTAAATTGTAAAAAATCATTACCCCAATAACACTAGATTATAACAGAATCATATAATCATTAAAGGGGTTTTTGCTAAAAATAACATAAAATTTGATTTTGAATACAAAAGTAGATCTCTGATGCAACATTTAGCAAAAATAACCTAAAAGGATAGTGAAAAGACAATATAATCCTGTATGACCAAACAAAAAAACGGATGTCATAATTACTGTTTAAACTCTGACGAAGTCTACTTTAAACTATTAGAAGTCTATTAGTAGACTTATAATAAAGTTTATGAAGTCTACTATGTAATTAAATCATAAAAATTAATTTTAAAAATAATAAAAAATAATATTGGTTTCAAATTTGCAGTCATAAATTAGATATTGGTAACCCTATTGCATATAAATTATTTTTTCATATTTATAAGTTAAACTTTATGGTTTCAAATTAAGAAGAACAAAATATTTGATTTAGTGTTTATATTTAGTAGACTTCAATATAGAAGTCTACTAAACCGAATAAATACCGAAAATTGAATCGAAATTGAACTAACAAGGAAATCTATAAAATCGAATAAATTAACTTAACCGATATTTAAAATCAAAATTGAACCAACGAATTTATGAGATATTAAACCAAAAATGTTATCAAACCGAAATTAATTTCTTGTAATCAATGAAAATTAGGTTCTAAAATTTAGTTAAACCAAAATTGAACCAAAGAAATTTAACTTTTCCAAAACCAAAATGAAAATTAGGTTTTTTTATCCTACTATATAAACGAACTATCCCTAATAAAACCCTTATTTTATCCCAGACATGCTCTCTCTAAAACGGCGCTCTCTCTTCTCTCTCACCATTTTTTTTTGCTTTTCATTCTCTTTGTGAAGCTATAGAGAAGCATGGTTGCTGTACGAAGCTGTAGTGAAGGAGCTGAAGAAAGAAGATTCAGGCGAGCTCAAGATCTTAAGCGGTCGTGAAGGAGTATTGAAGAAGATGACTCATCTTAGTCTCTTACCGAATCTCGCCGCTCCTCACAGTCTCTGGTGTGAGGTAAATCATCGTTACTCCTTTTTTCCTCTTTAAACCCTCTAAATATCTGTTTTTTTGTAGATCTTAAAATCTGTTTGGTTTATTTTCTTGTTGGCTTTTTGGACGAAGCTATTGCATTTTAGCTTACACGTGTTGTTTCTGATAGATGGCTTTCGTGATTTGGTCTCTCCATGGATTATAAAGTTTTCGCATTTGGTGCTGTTATTTTTCTTCATATATCTTTACTTCTTTTTTTTTTTAAATCGTATATCTTTACTTCTTGATATCTGGCTTCAGTGTCAGTGTGTCACAACCACACATGATTTCTCTATTGATAAAGAAATACGATCTGCTGAGTCTTGCCTTTGTAGCAGAAGATTGTTTATTTCATGTCGTTACTTTCTGTGCTAGTTGAGTCTGGTTTAGATATCTTCATCTTATTTTCTAATTTAAAAGTTTGATTAAGCTCAGATATTTGTTGTTCTATTATTTTCCAAGTTTTGTTATTGGTATTTAATAACCTTTCGATGAAATACTGAGAGTATGTATATTTTTTTTTGCAAGAAAAAGTGAAGACAAAGCATCCCCAGCTGCCAAAAACTCAAAACCTGTCTCACTCAGGTGGACCAAGCAGAGACGCTCCAGCAGGGCAGGTGTTACCGCAGAGGAAGACTAATGATGATGCTTGTATCACTGAACTATACCATTTACATAGAATTACTTTTGTAATATTTAATTTCATATACATATATAATTGGAATCTTTTTTACAATCTTTCAGTCACCGTTAAAAAATTTAGTCTTTTATTTTCTTTATTCAAAATCGTTTGTTCATGTTGGTAAGAAGATGATCCAAATGTTAGGCCATGTGATGATTGATCCAAATGTTTCTTCTTTTAGTGTGGATGTAGAAGATGAAAATATCACTTTAGTTTAGTGTAAAAACAAAACTGAAGAAGTAACAAAAGTAGATTTGGTAATAACAAACCTGAAGAAGTACTAACAAAAGCTTCAATTTTACATTTTAATTCAATGTCACAAAATGTTTGAAGTGAAACCACATAAGAAGCATATTAGTAGACTTCAAAATTTTGTCACCAATTCAGTTTTTTTTTGTCTAAATTATAATTATCTTATGTCATTTTAGTAAGTTCAACAAATGTACAATCATCACTCAAAAAACAAAAAAAAATTCTACCTCCTTAACCATTGCTATTATTCACCACAAAATGTCACAATTTCTCTTTCATTTTTCAATTTTAGTAAACAATAAGTATTTCAATAATTATCTGTAATAAAACACACAAATAAACCGTATTAGAAAACAAAATTGCGAACCAAATTCTTGTAAACACATAAGAAATGAAAATTTTTGATCAAGGAGACTTCATCGGCAGACTTCATCCGTAGACTGCAGATGAAGTCTACTCTTCCAAGCTAACTAGCTATTAAATCAAGAAATTTGATTCCACAATAAATATCGACTTATCACAAATGAAACTTATTGAGTAGTTAAACCAGTTGGTAACACACATTCCAAAACCAAAAAAATACAAAAAAAAATTTATATATATTATGTAATATTGTTTTAAAATAATGATACCAAGCAGACTTCGTGTGCAGACTTCATCCGCAGACTTCTGTAGAAGTCTACTTTGATAAGCTAAGTAGCTTAAAAATCAAAACTTCTGATTCAACAATAAATATCGAATTGAATGAAATGAAATTCACTGGGTAGTTCAATCACTTACTAAAAAGCATTTCTAATCAAAAAAATAAAAAAAATACTTTATAAATTTGCCTAAAACGCATTTTTTAAAAAAACTGCAATAAGTAGACTTCTACAGCAGACTTCAAACGTAGACTGGAGGAGAAGTCTACTTTTTCATAGTGAAGTCTACTAAAGAAGTCTACTAAAAAACATGTTATTTTTGCAATTGACCAATCCGTTGACTTTTTCTTCAGTAGACTTCAGAAGTAGACTTCCGGCCAAAAAGGTTACTTTAGCATTTGACTGATGCATTGACTAACAAAGTAGACTTCTATTGTAGACTTCATGTACGAGTAAACTTCTCTGACAGTCTACTTTTGAAGTCTACTTTTTCAATAGAAGTCTACGAAAAAAAATAGGTTATTTTTGCAATTGAATTTTTGGAGTAGACTTCACTGTGAAGTCTACTTAAAAAAGATTCCTTCTAAGTTTGACCGAAAAATATAAGTAGACTTCCCAAAGAAGTCTACAGTTTTTAGACTTCTTTCTGAAGTCTACTGCAGCTTTCCGGAGTTTTATATTTTTATTTTTTTAAAAACTTTAGTCAAACACTAAAATGACCTATACGTTTTTGGTCAAACTACAAAAGTAACTTAAAAGTAGACTTCTTGTGCAGACGTAAACAGTAGACTTTAGAAAGAAGTCTACATTAAAAAAGTCAAAATATGGTCAACTACAAAAATAACCTCTTTTCTTTCGTAGACTTCTTAAGCCTTCAAATGAAGTCTACTTTGCTTTTTTTTGTTTTCAAAGGATATCGAGTAGACTTCTCGTGAGGTTTAATGAAGTCTACTTTTAAAAGTCAATTACAAAAATAACCTTATGTTGACTAGTAGACTTCAGTATACTTCACGAGAAGTCTACTTTCGCGATATGAAAACTGAAATGTGGAGAAATTGAAGTGTGACGATTACATTTAACAAAATTGAGCTCGGCTACAGTTCTTTTAAGCACCCAGAACTCAGGATTTCACCAAAAATAAGCAACCCAGATGTTAAGTAACCAGAAATCACCAAAAATGCATGAATTTTGGCATTGTAACTTAGCCCAGTTGTTTTGGAGAAGAAATTATGAAAGAATGAGGAAGGTTATGAGTGAATGAGCTCAAATCTTTACTTATTACAGCTTTAAAATTGGTTGAGAAGCATTTATTCTATTTTCATGGTTGTTCATAGTGGTTGAAGAAATTGAAAAAGATGACATTCTCGTAATAAAAAGGTTTTTAGAAGGTCCAAGGAGACTTTAACCAAATTAAAGAAAAATCGAAATAATAGATGTATAATGGCATTTTCGTTAATAGTTTAAGTGGGAATGATAAAATTGTGAGAAAATGGCAAAAGTTGGAGAGAGAAAAAAAAGAGGTTAGTTTGGTGTTTGACTTTGAAATATGGGTTAAATCTGAAACTCTCCCATCATTAAAATGCAAATTTTTTGAATAACAGTAGATTTTGATTAGATTATAAAAATCATCAAACCAATAACAATAAATTTTTTATAATCTGTTTACGAATAACAATATAATCTATTAAGAATGTAAAAACCCACAAACCAATAACCATAAAATCTTAAACTCTAAAAATCTTTATAAATCAACCTTCGGATAACACCATCTACATATATCTCTTGGATTCTCAAAGTCTGTCATATCATATCTTTTAAATCCACACAATTTTTGTAAGTTTTATAAATTTAACAAAACTCTTGAAGATTTGACAAATTTTCTGACTTTTAAAATCTTTATAAATCCAACTTCCAATAACCCCTCTAAAACGACTATCTGAATGTTAATCTTTTGCTATTAAATCAAGCAAAGAGAAAATTGACACCACTTTATCATATCAAATTGATTTCTATATCCCTATGAAAAAATATAGGGAATTATGTGATATGTTTATCATTGCGCTATGTAACTTGTGATTGTCCTAAATCTAGTAACAATTTTCAGTTCCTTTTTGTTTTGGTTTATTTCAAAACACTCTTTGGAGGGACTATTCACAAATCAATGACCGAACTTTACACTTTATTTATACTGTAGCCATTTAGATAGTTCTTGCCTTTTTGGTCACAGTTCAAGAACTTATTTCCTTCTTTTCCCCTACCGTTTATTCCACGTAATTTAAATTGTAAAACTGATCATTATGTTGCTTGCAATGCTAGTTTCGTTCTTGTGATTTTGTAGATATAAACTTTGTAATTCTTATTTGGATTTTCTATTAACTAAACCATTATTGTTGAAAAACCATCATCCTGAATAGGGTTGTCATTTGTCAATTAGGGTTAAAGTTTATTGACTATCCTTGAATCCTATCATCTGCGTGGCCCAAATCACCCAAACTCGTTTTGCAGGACTTTGGAAAACTTGAACTCTTAACATTCAACACAATCAATATGGAAACAGACGAACATTTGCATATAATCTACACACAACTCCATTTTTCCCAAACATATATAAACAACTCCACCTGAGGTAAAGTTCAAGGAGTTCAAAAATGAGGAGTAAGAGAACTGAAACTTATTCAATTTAGTGCTTTTTAGACCACCTCCAACCATGGTCTCTAATGAGGAGTTCTAATTATTTTTTTTAATAGTTTTATTCATCTTTTTTGTTTTAAAACCTCTATTACATCATTTCTAAATTTTGTGGTCCAATGGTAGGCTTTAATTGAAGTTCTAAAAAAGAAAAAAAAAATTATTGTAACTTTTGAAATACAAACATTTTATGAAGACAAATTATTTTATTGATTTGAAATTTAAATATACATTACAAAAAAAAAAAACACTACACCAATAAGAAAAAGGGATTGAATAAAAAAAACCCTACACCAATCTTATATATACTAATAAAAGTTGAAGCTATATGCTTTTAAGAGTATCCACATCCACATAGGATTTAAGAAAGCAATTTAATTGGTCTACATCAACATTCAAAAATAAGGAAAATTTACAAATTGTAATATTATTGTTGAAAAAAAAAGAAATTAAAAAAGTGTCCACATAGGATTTAAAAAATGAATTTCATTGGTCCACATAAACATTTAAAATTAAGGAAAATTTACAAATTGTAATATTATTGTTGAAAAAAGAAATTAAGAAAGTTTATTGGTCCAATAAAATTTTTTAGTGGTCCACCTCAACACTGAAAATTAAAAAATATTTATATAAATTTTTTATTGGTCCACCTCAACATTGAAAATTGAAAATTTTCCAAATTCTATTATTGTTTTTAAAATTATGAAAAGTAAAGAAATTATATATAAAATTGATATTAATAATAAAAAACTAAAATAAATAATATTAAAATAAAGAAATTACAAAGGTGTCCACATAGGATTTAAAAATCAATTTTATTGGTCCACATCAACATTCAAAATTAAGAAAAATTTACAAATTGTAATATTATTGCGGAAAAAGAAAATTAAGAAAGTTAATTGGTTCAATAAAAAAATTTTATTGGTCCACCTCAACACTGAAAATTGAAAAATATTTGTATAAATTTTTTATTGGTCCACCTCAACATTGATAATTGAAAATTTTCCAATATATAAAATTAATATTAATAATAAAAAACAAAAATAAAAAATATTAAAATAGGAAAATTTTAATTTAAATTAGATATATACACACATATTTAGAGACTCTTATATTAGCATCCAATTTTTTTGTCACATAATTATAATAATTTTTTAAGTTGTTTTTGTGTGTGCAACCATGTAAAATAAACAAAAACAAAAGATAGAGTAAGGTTTCACTACAAAATGAGTCATTACAACGTAAAAGAACTAATTTGACTAAAATATATGTTTAACTATTAGCTAAATTACAAAGAATATAATAAAAGAAGATATAAACAAAACCACTACAATAACAAACTTGACCAAACTATATGTTTTAGCTAAATTATAAAGAATATAATGAAAGAAGATATAAACAAAGGCACTACAAGCCGTTTTAATATTAAAAAAGAAACCGTAAAATCTTCAAAGCTTGGCCACCAAATTTAAGATAATGATAAATTTTAAGCAATCCGAGAACACATGTCAAGTGATTGATACTCGACACTTTTGAAAAACCAAGCACTAAAAATAGAGAAAAGAACATAGCGGAGGAGACTGAGGTATCTGAGGAAATTTTGTGGAATAACATAGCATCTGAATGGGTTTTAACAATCCAACCTGAACCACAAAAGTAACAATTAGCTGACCAAGCAGCACTGAATGTATTCGGTAAGCCTCAAAACAATGAGGAGAGGCTAAAATCACTTGCCGTAACAGGCCTCGTGTGAGATTTTCTAGTTTTAATTTCTAAATCTATTACTAATAAAAGTTAAAGCTATATGTCTCTAAGAATGTCCATATATGATTTAAAAGTTTAATTCTATTGGTCCACATCAATATTTAAAATTAAGAAATTTCTAAATTTTAAAATTATATTGTTAACAAACAAATATATTTAAAAATAAAAATAAAAGTTGAAGCTATATGACTCTAAAGACATTTACATAAAATTAAATTAACTTTTTTTTCTAAATTATAAAATTACATTGTTAATACAAAATAATATAAGAAAAATTGTTAGTTAAAATTATTCTATTATTAATGATAGTTAAAGCTATATTATTTTCAAGGCATCCACATCAGCATTTAAAAATTCATATATATTAGTATATATCAAAATTATAAATTAAAAAAAGTTTCATAATTCTAATATTATGGTTAAAAAATATATTAAAAAAATAAAGAAATATCTATTAACCAAAAAAACCAACATAATATTAAAATCTCCATTATCACTGTTTAAATCACAAATTTAGTTTATTATCTATAAAAAAAATATATGCTACTTATACAAGTTTAAGTTACTTGATTTTAAAGCTTTTCATGTAGAATTTCAAATAACTAATATTTATGATTTATATTCATCTAATTTTTTTTCACATATGCAAACCATATCATCTAAATATGTAATATATTATGCGAAAATATGCAATATTTTTTTCTCATGTAATATATTATGCAAAAATGATCAAAATTTTTACATTTTATATATTAAATTTGGAATTCAATAGATTAATGTAGAAGTTCTTAGTTTTGAGTTGTTCAATTTGTTATTCTATTTTTATAAATTTGTATGTATTAAATTGTATTGGTTTTGTCCTACTTAATTACAATTAGAAGTGAGAATGAATATGATGAAACTGAATATAATCATACAAAAATTAATAAAATAAATAAATATGATAGATTCATTGAAAAAACAGATATAACAAGAATAAAAATGAAGAAGATGAAAAAAAAATCATTCTTATTAGAAGAGATGACGTATAATCATTGAAAAATTATTTAAAAGTTTACACTACCAATTGACAAAAATATATTTATTTATAAATTTTTGTGATTTTATTCATTTCATATTCAATTACTGTTTTAGTTTCAAATTTAAAGTTGTTATTAATCTCAAAGCAAATATTTTATTTAATAGTATGTTTTTAAAATTAATATATCAAAATAAAAATTTGTATTTGTTAAAAAAGAGAAGAAAAAAGATTAAATTTTAAATTTTTTTATTATTTTTTTAAGAACATATATATAATTAAATAAAAGTGAAAATAATGGGAAAAATTATCTTCTTAATTTAAAGAAGTGAATGTATAATATTTTATTATCATGTTAATATGATGTTTAAAAAGTAACATTTGATTAATTTGTAAAAAAATTAGCTGGTTTTTGTATATTAACTTATAAATGTTTGACCAAATAATACATTTTTGAAATATGATATACTGTATATAGATTCAAAACAAAACCATTAAAATATCACAATTTACATAAAAATTATTAGATCAACACTATTATATTTTAATATATTTTTAAAACACTAATATATAAAATTTATATCTTAATAAATATAATTAATTGTATATAATTTTTATCAACAAAATACCCATGCGTAGCGTGGACGCAAAATCTAGTGAATAAAAAAAACCTTAGAGGGTTTGAACAAGAACTAAAAAAAAATACATTACATAATTCAAAAATTTTTAGTGAGACAGAGGGCTTAAATAAATAATAAAAAAAACACTACACCAATAAAAAAGTGACACGTCAGAGTCTCTAATGAATCTTTAGAGAGCACTAAATTAAAAACGGTTTTGGCAATATTATCCATTAAAACTTTTCTGTTTAATTAAAATTCAAACTATAACCCCTTATCATCCCCCATTGGCTGCTCTTAGCCCCTTCTTGCTTTCTTTCTTTACTGATGGTAAATCGAATCACTTGTCCAATTTCTTCCGTTTACACTTTACAATTGTTAATCAACGCAAAATTAGGAGTTAGATGTGAGATGACGAACTCTCATTCAAGTTTGTGTATCACTGGATATCATCGACGAATAAATTCCATTGCACAACCAATTCTCTTCCACATACAAAGAAACGTCATATTATCGGACGAGATTTCTAATTGTGGCAAATCAAAGAGAGCGAGAGAGAGGAGGGTAAAAAGATTGTTGTACTCAAAACTTGTGCAGAAATAAATAAAATCTAGAACAAAAACGAACAATGGATAAGCTGACACCAGGTGGATTTGATCCACTAAGCAAAAACTAAACATTCAAAAGACAAGAACGAGAGGAGACTATGATCTATTCCTCCTCAACGATCTTGCTCTTCTCGCTTACATAGATACCGTCAAGAAACTTTCTGATATCCTTCTTCTTGACGTGAGATTTCTGCACATCACATAAACCAATCCATAGTAATTACAAAAGTTCCGTATACAAAAGTGTTCAAAAATAAAAAAACATCAACCAAATATCCCTTTTAACCTCGAGCTTTCAGTCTAAATGGGTCGGAGACTAACAATATGCAAGCTAGATCAAGTTAACTTAAGCAATTTTATAGTCAGTATTGTAGAAGTCTACGAGAGAGCGATATAGATAATTTGGATGGATTTACACTGAAGTTCATATCATTAATCAAACATAAACCATAATATAAACTACGTCTCCTTCATTAAACAATTCCTCAATCTTTGAGACCCATCAGAATACAAACTCGGTTAAGAACTTTCAAGTCTTTATCTAGTGAACATTGTTAAAGACTATGAGAAACCCATTAACATATACACACAAATGCATCTTTCTTCACTCAAGTTTCAGAACATTAAACAAGAAATGTATCTGCTTGCTAGTAAGAGTACCTGGTTGATCAAAGCGCAAGATCTTGAGACAAGCTCGATATCGTTACCATCAAGAACAATCTCATCCTTCACTTTCTCAGATCGAACAATGGTCACAGCATCCAACATCTCTACCTTCCTCACCTGTTGATTCCAATAAAACCATTACATCTAAGTTCATCAAATCGGAGCTAATATTTCACAATCACATTACACAATTCCAGAAGAACCAAATCCAATCTAGTATCCGAGAGAATCAGATTGATAAAACACGAACCTTCTTCTCGCCAAGGAAGTTACGGATCTCGATGGACTTGTTATGGCCGCTGATTGAAGCGTTGATGGGAAAATGAGCGTACACGAACCTCATCTTGTATCGGAAACCTCTGGTTACGCCGGAGATTTATCGACGTGGCTAAGAGCAGTTCTGATGGAAGCGCTTGATTTGCGCGATCCAAACCACGAATCGATCTTGAGCTTTCGTTTCCCAGTTTCTTCGTCCTTGATTAGCTGGAAATCGAGGTTTAGATGCTTGAAATCGCGGACGAGCTTGCCGCGAGGTCCTTCAACTTCGATGACCTTAGCGTTAACCTTGATGCTAACGCCGTCGGGAATGTCCATCGTCTCCGAAGATAGAATCGTCTTCATCTTCTCCCCACTTTTGTTTCTCACTCGCTGCCTCTCTCTGGCTCACTCTTTTTGCCCAAGGAGGAGCCGATAGTTTGAAACCCTAGGAAGTTTTTAAGCAGAGAAACTCTGAAAACCCTAGGAATTATTTTTTTCTTTTCTATTTGCCCGGCCCGGTTCGATTGAGCCCAGTCAATTTAGGCCTATCTTAATATTATTTACAAATATTATATTGGTTTGTGATTTTGAAACATTGGTGAGTGATTGCCCCAAATGATTATCTATCTAGCATTTTTTTAACATGTTATGACTTCTTTTTTCTTATAGTTAGGGGTAATTTCAGATTTTACCACCCAACTAATTTATGTGAGTGAATGTAGTTTTCAAGTAGTTCATTAAGTGTGTTTTAATAGGTCCAAAGTATTACATGCATTTCGATTGACCAAATAGAAGTAGTTAAAATAACTCAACACTTAAGGTTATCAATCGCTAATCTACACTAACATGACAACTCTCAACAAATGAGAACCACTAGTCTACTACCAATACCATTTAGTTTCATTCAACTTGTTGTAGTATTTATCCAACATAAGAAACGTAAAACCTAATAAAAGGTAGCAAACGACCTCATTAGAAAAAGTAAATAACAAACTTAAAAAGAAGTAGAATCTAAAAACATTTGAACACATGTTACCAATGATCACACTCTCAATTTTTTGGAATGGAATTGGTAGAATAGAAGATTTTTTTTTTTTACTTCCTCAGGAAACAAAAAAAATATTTTCATCACTACTGCAGAATATTGTAGAATAGAAGATTATTTTTGTTTCTATCATATTCAACCGTTGATCTCAAACATCATAATTATATTCAACCGTTTATCTAAACATCACAATCATAAAAATATTGACTCATCACATTTCATTACATTGTAGCTAGTAATCAATAGAAATAATTTGCTGAATAAAAGGGATAATGATCTGAATAAACATCTAACTTTTTCCACCGAGTTCGAGGATAAATTTTCAAGTAATAGTTGTCTTTCCATCTATGATACATGAAAAAATGATTTTTTCTTATTATTTTATTTTAACTGGTGAATATTACAAAAATGTAAAGGAATCTATTATTCATGAGATTTTTACTACATTAAAATGCATTCCGGCTAGATTTTGACTAAACTGTTTCATAAATCGTAAATATCTAATGTTTTTTTTTCAAAAAATCAATTATATATATATATATATATTATCAAAAGATTCTAGGTTGAAATCCATAATCCTCAGGGATCTGAAACCATAATAGTTATGTCTTAACGTCATTTGATCATGTGACCTCTAGACTTTGTTCAAAAATTTTTTAGTTAATGATTTGATTGTATAACTATTTTTCAGGAAATATATCATATTGGTGATGTTAATGATGCTGACATGCAGTTCTTTGTATATCGGCGTCGTTCTTCTTGCCTTGGCATTGGTTCACCTTTCAAAACAGAACATATTTATACACAACCTGTCTACTTGGGATTTTGGATCTAGATTGTTTTAATACTTATAACCCAGGTGCTTAGAATGGTTTATCCACATCGCCAACGAGGGTTCACCCTGTGGTTGCTGTCATTGCATTCGTCTCTTTTCATAAAGAAAGAGAAGAAATTATTGGATCGAACCACCTATAAGATAATATTATCGTAAGCAATATGATCCAGAATAATAAGAGTGTCCCATTATGATTATTATGAAGTTTAAGGTTTATTATTGTAGATGTGGTTTGTATTGTTTACATAACCATAACTATGTTAACTCTCTATAGACCTAAGACTTAAAACTATTCTCTTGTATATTATAAAATATAAATATTTAATAATTACAATTTATAAAATTGTTTTGTCAGATATTATTAGTAGTTCTTTAATTATTTCAATGATATTGCCACAATTCAATATATTTATGATTGTGATGTTTTGAACAAAGGTTGACTATAACAAATATCACAACATGTTGATCTAAACATCATAATCATATTCAACCATTGATCTAAACATTATACTCATATGCAACCATTGGTTTAAGCATCACAGTTATATTCAACCGTTGATTTAACATCACAATAAAGATATTGGTATATGATAATTTTTTCTTACTTCCTCTGAAAAGGAGATTTATTTCCATCAATACATAGGGGAAAATAGATTACATGTATGAACTTTTTTGTTTTTAATATGATTATGATGTTTAATGTTTTATTATATATAACACTAAATAAAAATATGTTTAAACTTTTAAATTGATTATCTGCGTAATTATGATCCATATAATTAGATTTTAAATTAAGATTTTATTAAGTTATTAATAAATCATGTTTCATGATTCACAATTATGAAATTAAAAATTAATACATATTTCCATAAATCTGATAAATAATTCTTCTAAATAAATACTAATTTCTGAAAACATAATTTCCATTATATGATAGTTTTTATTTTTTTCATTTATTTTTTTCTATTTATCAATCTCTATTTAAATAAAAATATAATCTATTTTTTCTTTTTCTAAGTAAATGATTAAAAAAAATTTATATTATTATATTGACAAATGTCATAACTAAAATTCATTATGACACATAGGACAATCTAATGAGTTACAAAAATCATACATGTTAGCTTTACATTGAATGCATTCAACTTTATCTAATAACACAAGTATATGGAAAATGGTAGTGTTTCAGGTTACTTGTTTCATGGTAACAGCCTGAGTTGGTCTCAGAGAGTACATATAGTGAAGGGAGTAACCTCTGCCCTTCATTACCTCCATGAAGGCTGAGTTCAAGTTATACTGCACAAAGACATCAAAGGGAGCAACGTTCTCTTAGATGAGAATTTGAATGGGAAAAAACACACACCTGGTAGGGACTTTAGACTATATGGCTTTGGAGTTAACCACTATGGTAGCACTCACAACGATGACTAACGTTTTCACCTTTGGAGCATTTGTGCTCGAGATTATTTGTGGCAAGAGACCCATTGATACAAGTAGACCAAGCGATGATATTAATTTGGTTCAGTGGGTTGCCAACTACAGTTGAAGAGGTTGTTTATTGGAGGATGCCATTGATAGCCGACTTGTTGGCAACTTTGGAGATGAAGAGGCCATGATGCTTTTAAACCTTGGCATGATCTGCTCGGATAAGAACTCGGAAAAAAAGCCTACAATGAATGACGTGGTATAATATCTTGAAGGAAACACAACTCTTCCTTAATTCTCATTCGACTTGGAAGAAATAGATGATGATGAAGAGACAACACTAGCAGCAACTACATCAGGTTATATTGAGTTGGACACCATTAGCATCCTATTTGAGGGTCGCTGCAAGCCGTTTCTTAGAGCACCTCCATCAATGAGCTGGTCTAACGAGTGCTTAGCAAATTTTTTAATATTTTTGTGTTTAATGAATAATTTGCAAAGAGAGAGAGAGAGAGGAGAGAGAAGAACAGCAAATAAAAAATGTGTCGGGAAAATGGTTTGAAAAGAGAGAGAGGGTGAAATGAATAAAAAAAATTACCCAATCATCATCGTCCACGTGGCCTAAGGGTCGACCCTTGGGAGCCTTCTGCAAGCGACGGTGTTAAAGAATATTGGGTTTAAAATATTTATTTTAATTCAGTTTACCTATGCATTCGTGCCCAAATCAGTTAAGAGTCTTTGATGGAGCTGGTCTTATAGAGCAAACAATTAATTTTACTGCAAGGTTTATGCCTGCACAATCATCTGAGAATTTGAGTATTAGTAGTATATGTTTTGTTTTTGTGCTTCAGTTTAAGTGTTTGTATCAGACGCTGATCCCATCCCATATTTGGTTGTTTTGTAGTGTAAGGAAGGAGAGGCTGTTAGACAGCTAGAGTAACCACCGTCCAATGAAAGTTATTAAAGCGTCTACACAAGTTCGAGCACTAGACTCTAGCTGTCTATACTCTATTTCTGTTTTCCTCTGTTTTTTTTTTTTTACTTTTTAGCTAATGAAATATAGGAAATGAAATCAGTATCTTCTTCTACTTGATAAGAAGTGGTTTCACTTTTCATTTAAGTTTGGTATTAAACAAAAGCTCAAGACTGAAAAAAGAACAAGAACAATAAAGAAAACCATGAAAAAAAAAGAGAAGATTACACCGGTGGTTTGCTTATTATCATGATTTAAATACAATTTATGGACGGATTTGAAATCGGTTGTTGTGTGTGTTTTTTCTTATTTTATTTATTGTTTTTTCCATAATCTAAACATAATTTTTGTTCCCATTACTTTTTAGGATTAAGGACATGCATATATGGAGATTTGTAAGTTGTATTTATAGCTTCTGAATAAAAAAATTGAAAAAAAACTAAAAATATTAGTAATTTCTTTTATTATAAAACTGAATAACTATAAACTGGTTTTACGGAAGTGAAAAATTAGAATTTTTTTCCCCTTTAGGTTTGTATTCTATTTGTTTTTTTTTTAATTTCTTTCATATAAACAATAGTAGTAATAGTTATAGTTTTTTTTTAATTTTTACTTTTTAAGATTATAATATATTGTTTTACTTTTTCATGCTAACTGATAGATACATTTTTTTCCTTTTTCTTATAAATTTTGATTTTTATTCTTTTTTTTATCTTTTTTTTCTTAATCTAAACATAATATTTTTTTATATCTCATTTACCTTTTTAAATTAGGAACCAACTATAAAATTTTCTTTTTCTAATAAGATTAGTTAAAATATAATTAAAAATCAATTAAATACATGTTAAAATCTTATCGTTTATTCTTGACATATGGCATGATTATGCGATTTACTAACTTTAAATCATTAGCTTTATATAATAAGATAACTTTTCTAAAACACACTCATTTTGTAAAATTTACAAAAATAAAAATAAAACAATTGTTTCCACGTTCTAAAATATTTTGCTTTTGCTTATTCGTTTCTGCAACCGCCTGTATAGTATACTTCTTTTTTGTCAACTTTGATTTCATTAAAAGTTCAAATGGGCGATAAAGAGTTTCCAAGCCCAACAACTCCAGAATTACATTCAAATTTTGCAATAAAGCCCACTAAAAAAAACATGT